GGAGTGCATGGACCGTGAACTCTAATTATTCACAGATGACACAGTGTCCATTCCCCTTGTTGGTGTTGATGCTGGTGTTTGGAACAGTCACAGATGAAAGTCGTAATACTCAGATCTTTTTTTCTGAACAAAAAGTTAAAATCATCAACAGTTTAGTATCAGAGAGGAAATTTGGCATTTTCCTCGCTAGCTGCACATAGTAAGTGGCTCGGGATGAAGTATCAAGTGTGAAGAAGAAGGCCTTACAGTGTGTGAAGATACCCTTTAGCAGTCCTCTTCTGAGAGCCAAGTTCACAGCAACTCGATGAATCTTTTATGTGTTTTCTTTCACTGTGCTCTAGAGATGCTTTGGGAAAATGGAGTGAAGAAAAGTCAGTGGAATGAAATAATGGGAAGCCAATCATTAGGCCATCTCTATCCTCCCTCCAAGAGGGGGCCTGGCATCGCTGCAAAAGTCAACTGCAGTGGTAGCCAAGCGAAGCATCTTGAAGGGAAAACTGTCAGTCTTCTTGACCCACTTGGGACTTCCAAACAGAATTTTTTCCTTAACACAGTGATGAATACAAAGGTTTTGATTTGAAACAGCATCATTTTTATGGAAAGCTTGATGAAAGAACACACTCTTGAAGGTCAAATAGACCTGACTTTGAATCTATATTCTTTCACTAGCTGTATCCTTTTAAGCAAGTTACTTATCTTCTCTGAGTCTAATCATCACCATTTGTGAAATGACAATAATAATCCCTACCTCGAGATGATTACAAGCCTGATGCTTGGTACCTAAAAGATACTCTGAATCTTTGTGAACTTTCGCTTCCTCACACAGGGAATGGAGAGAGTAGTAAACTCTTAGTTGCTTTCAATCCATGTCTTGAATAATCAACAATAGTACCTACCATCTTCCTATGTATTTATTCACTCAATAAATATTACTGAGTACCTTCTATATGCTGGGTAATTGTCTAGGCACTGAGAATATAGACAAGGTCCCTATCCCCATGGAGGAGACAGATAACAAGTAACTAAACAAGATAATAAGTACAATGAGGACAATATAGTAAGATAACATGATAGAGATGGGGGACCTGTCTATTTCAGAAATGGTAGTCAGGGAAGGCCCCATTTTAACTAAAACTTGAATGGTGGAACTGGCCACACCTGTGTGGAAGAGCATTCCCTGCAAAGGGACAGTCAGTGTAAGTACCTATAGCATGGATTGAGCTTGGCATATTTGGGGAACAGCATCAGGGGCAGTGAATCACAGAGGTACAGAAGAATAAAGGTCACGGGGAAGTCAAAAGGAGAGGCTGTAAGGAGTCAAGTCATTCACATTGTTAAACCTGTGTCTAGCACTCAAAGTTCTGGATACAATAGTAACCAATTGAAGTGCCTGCTTCAGGGAGTTGACATTCCAATGAGGACAGTCCCCTGGGGTCCTGAAGGCCCTGGTAAGAAATTTACATACATTTTAAATATGTTACCTCTTTTGGTCTTCTCTGCATCTCTATGAGCTAGATGTTATTATCCTCATATATAGAAGAAGAAACAAAAGGCTCACTGAGGTTATGCTGCATTATGTAACCTGCCCAAAATGTGGTAATTTGTGGTGGAGGTTTGAGGCAGGTGGGAAACAGAACTGCACACTCATCCTCCAGGGTCACATTGCTAGCAAGTGTGGAGCCAGGATTCAAGATCTAGACTGTCTGGCTCCAAAGACTTCATACCAGCCATTCCTTCCATTTCTCATGGAGAGAAAGAAAACTTGTCAATGCTTTTTGGGTTCCCATAATTAAAGCCATGATGGTCATAAACAAGCCATTGTCCAGATGTCACCCAATCATAGGACTAGGACTTAAGGCAACCACTCAGAGTCTGGAGTACACAGAACTCCCCCTTCCAGGCCCCTGCACCTGTTTGAGCAGCTTTGCAGCAGAGCAGAAAGGGTTCTGCAGGAGCAACACTCAGGGCAAAGGTGTTCAGGGTCTGTAGAATGGGCAGCTCCAATTCTTCCCATGCAGAGTCAGAAGAAATTGCTCTGATGAGATAATCATAGGTATTGATCAAGCAGCAGAGAGATCCAGTGGCATTTCTCAAACTTTGAAAGGTAGTGAAATGAATGAATAGGAGAGAAAGTTTTATAAATTGGTTGTTCTATTTGATGTTCATTTAATTAAGACATTCAGTCCTTCTAATGGAAAATGCAAGGAGTGGAAATTACGGGTTTTGGGCTGTCTCATATAAAATGAAAACCAGATCTTGAAGGAATGGGGCCTTTTCGCTGTATCTTCTTCAGGCTCAATTTAATTATGCATTACAGGATACCTTCAATAATAATTACAGTTGTCTACCTTGATACAAAACCTCTTTCTGTCTTGGAGAATAAAACTCTGGGGAGATACCTAGGGAGAGGGCAAAAAGTATCTTTTATCAAGAGCAGCTTCTTCCATGTGTGCCTTCAGCAGATGTTTATCAGGTGTCTACCATGTATCCAGTTTGTGTCATGTCATGCAGCAGGTAGAGTGTGAATAAGTCATGGCCTGTCTTCTCCTACAGAGCAGGAATGAGGCCGTGCATGTTCAATCCTGCATTACTTGAGTTGCTCAGCCAGCATCCCCTGCCTGTCTTCCCTATGCCTGACTCAATTCTGCTGAAGCAGGGATGAACTGGGAGTAGGTCCTCCTGGGTCACAGTGCTGACAGGTGGCAGAATCCAAGTGGTGTGACACCAGATTCCCAGCCTAGTAATCGAACTCCATAAACCTCTCCTGACCTTGACAACTCACAATCCCAAGAGGGAAATGCCTTGTACATCAGCATCCCAGCACAAGAGAAGCATCCTAGGAAAAGCAGGTCACTTTTATATGCACCTCACAGTACTCCTGGGTGGTAGGCAGGGCTGGGGTATCCTCTCTACTATGTGAATTGGGAAAGGAAAACTCAGAATGGTAAATCATCTTCCTCCAGTTAGATGTCAACAGGTGACCAAGACTTGAGCAAGGAGAGGAGGGAAACAGAGGACTGTATCTGACTGAAAAGGAAAGCAGAATACACAAAACCAAGGCATGAGGTAGAACATTCCAGCTATAGCACCGTCATATTTTTGTTACTCAGTGCTACCCCTTGGTTTCCAGGTATGACAGCTTTGGCCGCCTGACAAATGTGACCTTCCCTACGGGCCAGGTGAGCAGTTTTCGAAGTGACACAGACAGCTCGGTGCATGTCCAGGTAGAGACCTCCAGCAAGGATGATGTCACCATAACCACCAACCTGTCTGCCTCAGGTGCCTTTTACACACTGCTGCAAGGTAAGCCAAGCAAGTCCGGGAGCCTTTGGGACACAGGGGGCCTTTGAGAGAAGATCCCTTCGTCAGAAGAATGAGGCTAGAAATGCTGCTTCAGGAGCCGCCCAAGAACAGGAAAGAATTATGATTTGTTTCTCTCCCTATTGCCACCTCATTTGCAAAACACACAAGCCGGAGTCCTGTAAATTCTCTCCCAGAAGCTTTAGAGTAATATTTCATTGTCCCATCCCATTATCATCAGAACAAGGGGGAGAGACTCTATTAGCTGCTAATCCAGGTGACCTCACCATTCTGCTATCTTAATGGTTTTCAGATTAAAAGACTTACACTCACTCTGATGCAGGCTAGGACAAAGGACAAGAATAATTACATCTAATTATGAAGGGGATTTAGTCATGGAGAAGTCCTTCCTGAAGCCCATGTGAGGTTTGTACCTCTGCTAGGATTCCATAGAAAAGAGGCTTCTTCTCTGCATCTGTCAGGTCCTCCCTGAGACAGATTGATCTTTAGTTTCAGGCAAATCTCATGGTGGGACTCTGCTGTTAGTTGTCTTGCCTCAACTGTTCTCATGGAATGTGGTGGCCCAGGGTGGGCTTGAAGCTTTATTGGATTTTGTAAGCATGAAAGGAAAAAAATAGTAATCCCTGAAGAGCCCTGTCTGACTCTTTCCCACCCTCTGATAGCTCTTTCTTACCCCCAAAGGCTTTGCCACAAAGCAGTAGAAGGAGCTTTGGGCTGAAAATCAGGCCAAGTTCTAGTTCTGACTCTGCCACTATGTCACCCACCATATTCCTCAGTTTTATTCTCCAGGAAAAGAAAGCAAGTCGAAGCTGTGTTGAGTGATGTGAGGCAGGACAGGGGTTGGGGGGAACCTGGGGCCCCTGTGCCCCCTGTGCCAAATCCCACCACGTGAACTGGAAGGAGTCAATCTTCTCTGAGCCTCAGTTTCTGGGTGTGGAAAATGGAGCTGCATTATAATACCTGCCTCATTGGCTGCTCAGATGATCTCTTTAGACGATATTTGTAAAGTAACTAGCATGGGCTAGGCACAGAGTATTGGCTCAATAAGTACTTGTTGGATTAATTGAGTAATTAATTAATTAGCAAGTAGCTTGAGTTACCATAAAAGAATAAATGAATATTTGTATAACAGCTTTTATTCGCAAAGGTAGTCCTTCACTTTTCAAAAAGATAGAGGAAAAATAGTGGGACTCAGAGAGAGAAAGCAAGCCCTGGCATTTCTTCCCCACCTTTAATAGTAGGTTGAGACACCTCGAGAATTTATCCCCTGGCAGGGTTACTGCCAGCAGAAGGTACCAGCTCCCAACCAGCCAGGGTCATGCCTGACCCAGAGTGGCAGGGCCAATGAGTACTCCAGTCATGGTCCTTCAGGTCTGTTTTCTTCCCAGTGGCCAAGAATTGTATCGTCCATCCACTGCATCTTGCTACATCTACTTTGAGCATTTTCTTCCCCAAAGATTAAATCAGCCTTTTTATATTTAGGCAACTTTTAAAAATTCAAAAGTGCCATATCCCTCAATTTTAAAATGTACCATCGTTTTAATAGTAGTTTTTCAGGCAAAGGATAAAAAGGACACACTGCTTAAAATACATAGCTGGACTGTAAGACACATTCCAATTTCAGAACATTGAGATGTGAAAAGGAAAAGTGCATCCTGGGATCCAGGAAAATACAGTACCTGTTTCCCCCTTTTGTACCTCTGCCAAGTTCCCTTTCCTTCTTGCACACCAGGCTCAGATGCTCAGCTTCACATTCGCCTCAGTAGAGTCCTTGTGAAAAGCCCTTTCAGTTTCATCCTGTCTGAGCCATGGGAAGTAATACGAAGCAGCTACTAATGAGCAGTGGCCTTGGGAAGTCACAGCCTGCATTAAGTGAGGTCATGTGACATGGGCCTCTGCAGATGCTTGGTCCATCCAAATTCCCTGGTAATGGACATATGTGGATGCAGAAAGAAGCAGCTTTAAAAAGATAAATTGACAGGTTTTTTTCACTCTTCAGAGGGAGTAAAATACAGATTGCCAGTGAATGATGCATAGCAACTTTGGGGCAGATTTTAGAATTCATATGTGCAAGGGAAAAAGTGTAGAAAGATAAAACAGGGAGGGAGTTTAAGAGAGGGGGACCAATTTGATGCCATTCTAGCAGAGAAGATTTGGTGAGGGTTTCCCATGAAAACTATACCCTTGGGACTTGACATAACCTGCATCATACCTAATCAAGCAAATATTTGCTGATTATAAAAGTAGAGCAATAAAGATACCTAACATTTTTGGAGCACTTATCAACTATAAAAGTATTATTTTTAGCATTTTATATTCATAGTCTTTTTTTAATCCTGATAATAAGCTGATTAGGCAGGTCTTCTTAATATCTTCATTATCCAAATGAAGTCAATGAGTAGTTAAGCAGCCTGTCCTAGGTCACACACCTGAAAGAATATTTGGACTTGGATAAATAGGCTCCTTAACCCATTCTCTTGGCCACTAAAGATAAGAAAGAGAGCTTTTATTATTTTTTGGTTTTGCTTTTATTTTTATTGTTTTTAAGGAAGAGCTATTGAACAGCACTAGAAAGTTCACTATTACAGCTGTGTGAAATGGGGGGGGGGGCAGAATGCATGTGATGGTGACCACCTCAGTGCCGCACACAGTAAACTAGAAATAGTCAACATTTACATAGTACCACCTGCCAGGTCCTGTCCTTAGCTCCTTGTATTCATCTCGCTTCACTCTCAGAGCATCTCTGTGAAACAAGGGCACAATTATTATCCCTGTCTTACAGTGAAGCAACAGAGGCATACCAAGCCACGCATGTGGCCATGGTCTCACAGCAAGACCATGGCAGCGCTGGAACCCAAGCCCATGCTCTTTCTGGGTGATGGTGCTCAGTGAGTACTTAGACGCTGGGGAGTGTGTTCATTGCAGGATGGTGGACCCTGCACCCCTCAGCTGTGAGCCACTGATGAGGCCCACATAGAGGCTGAGAAGTGTACAGGAGGGGAAGGCGTTCCTCTGACCAGAGGAACAGCGGGCATCTTGGAAGAAATGACATATGAGCAGAGCCCTGCAGGAAGGACTTGGGCTAGCTTCCTCTAAAGACAGTAGAAACACAAGGAAGGACAAAGGAGTGAAATTCCCACACAAGCCCAGAGATACTGTTTCCATTTTCAGAGCAGATCTCAAGGTACATTTTAAAGACAAAGTTTACCTTTTTCTCCAGAATTTTCTTTAGCTAAGAAGCCAAATTAAAATGTTTTAATTAGATTTAAATTTTCTAATCAGAGCTATTTTAAAACCATTGTCGTAACAATTTAAAATGTGTGTGTATGCAGCATTCTGTCAGTGATTTAAGTATTATTTTTTACGTTGTTATAAAGAACACTCTTATCCTAGGGCATATCAAAAGACTTAAAAATGTTCTAGTAATCCTACTTTTAGGAACCTATTTTGATTAATCCAAAATAATAGAAATTTTGGATTCTGATTTATCCAAAGAAAAACATTTTAATTGAAATATAATGACATACCTCAAATTTACCCTTTTTTATAAATATGCTGAAGCCTTCAATCTTTTATTTATTTATCTTTATGGGGTACAGGGATCAAACAGATGGCCTTGAGCATTCTAGGCAGGTGTTCTACCACTAAGCTATGCCCCAGCCCCAAAGTTCACTCTTCTGAAATGTGCAATTCAATGGCTTTTATCATATTTACAAAGTTGTACTGCCATCACCATTATCTAATTCTGGAATATTTTTAACACCTCAAAAAAGAAATCTCATACCTATTAGCAATCTCTTATGCCCTGGCAACCATTAATCAACTTACTTTCTGTCTCTCTGGATTCAACTACTCTAGACATTTCCTATACATGAATTCATACATTTGGGTACAATGTGGCACATACCTATAATCCCAGTGACTCAGGAGGCTGAGACAAGAGGATCCCAAATTGAAGGCCAGCTTCATCAACTTAGCAAGACTTTATCTCAAAATAAAAAATAGAAAGGGCCGGGGTTGTATCTCAGTGGTAGAGCACTCCTGGGTTCAATCCCTAGTACCAATAAGCAAGTAAGTGAAAAAATACGTGGTCTCGTACAACATGTGGCCTTCTGTATCTTCTTTCGTTTAGCATAATATTTGAAATATATTTATTTGCAGTGTCATAATATTTGAAATATATTTATTTACACTGTCCAGTAATTGTGAAAAACTGGAAACACACTGAATACCTATTTGGGGCATGGTTAGATATAGTACTTCCATATAATGGAATACTTTATAGTCATTAAGAAAAATGTTTATAAAAATATTCATGGGTATGATATAATGCAGTGATGAGTCCAAAACTCCACAATTATTTAAAACTTTAAGTGTATTGGGAAATATTCTGAAATCTACAAATATGCAAAATATTTCTAATGCTCTTATTTGAGTACCGAGATTACGGATATTCTTGTCCATGTATTTTCCCAGTTTTCTTCAGTTATCACATTTTACTCCTATGGCTGGGGGAATGCTCACCTCCCTCTCCATCCCCAGCCCCCCTGAGCACCCGTGTTCTCCTCTCCTTCAGACCAAGTCCGGAACAGCTACTACATCGGGGCCGATGGCTCTCTGCGACTGCTGCTGGCCAACGGCATGGAGGTGGCACTGCAGACTGAGCCCCATCTGCTCGCTGGTACTGTCAACCCCACAGTGGGCAAAAGGAATGTCACACTGCCCATCGACAATGGCCTCAACCTGGTGGAGTGGCGGCAGCGCAAGGAGCAGGCTCGAGGCCAGGTCACCGTCTTCGGGCGCCGGCTTCGGGTGAGCAAGACCTTGGAGGCTACTGCACAAGAGTGCATGCTGGGAGAGGATGAGGAGACCCTAAGAATCGGGTCTGTTCTCAAAACTCTCTCTGAGACCTTAGATTCCTCACCTGCAGAGGGAGGTTCTAAAGTAGGTACCACGTGTAATGAGAGGCTCCTGTGTGGTCGTTTCAGCTTTAACTTATGTAAGGATCTATGGCTTTGGAGTTAGGTAGGAGGTGAATTTCCAGCTTATTGTTCCAAGTGAAGTTGAGTTTGTCAGTCGTCTTAGAGCTTCAATTTCCTTCTCCATAAAAGGAGGAAGATAAAACCAATTTTACGAGTTGCTACAAGGATTAGAGGTAATGTGTGAAGTGTCTGATTTAGATGAGGTGGTCAAGGATAGCTGCTCTTCTGTTCAGTGCTATTATTGTAATTGTCAGTACTGTTACTAATGTTCCCAGAATTCTTTGTATCTCTTTGGAACCTAAGCCACAGTCTCCTTCCAGAAAGAGTGACTGTTCCTAAATGACCTAAATGACCTCACTATAACTGTCACTGCAGGGAACTGGCTTTGTGCTATGGCATATCAGAGCACCTTGCAGGTGTGGATGCCTGATTCAGCGCCTGTCTGCTCACCTCCCATGAGTAGAGTGTGGCTGTGGCCTGGGGGGTCACTGCCCAGCAGTATTTCCCTCCAGATTCACAAAGGAAAGAACAGGCAGAGTCAGAGCTGGTGACCTAGGCCTGGCTTTCCACCCAGCACTTTGCAGACCACAGGTGCTCAGTAGATGTTCATTGGCTGAAGTGAACCACAGAGTGGAGCCAGATCTTCCCAACATCCCCAAGACCAGAGAAGCATCCTTATAGTTGCACAGCTTGGGCTCCCTTCATTCCCTCCCTTTCCTCAAAGATAGCTCACCACCTAAGTTCCTTTTTTACATGTGGGGCAACCAAGGTCCAGAGAGGGCCAGTGATTTTTCCAGTCACATAACTAGGCCATGGTAAAGATGACAAAGTAGGCCCATAACAGATACCAAAATGTTAAATGACATCCAATATCAAAAACTAGAATGCAGAAAACCAGGCTTCCTTTGTTCCCACCAACTCAGCCCAACACTCTAGTAACCATCTGATGTGGGAAACAGCCTCCTGCTAGTTCTCTCAGGAAGGCCTCACAGCTTTTGTTCTCAGTGGCATGCCACCATCTGTGGCCCTCACTGAGACCCCACCAGAATTCTCATGCAGCCCTTCCTGCACATCTGAGGCAGTGTGCAAAATGGGAAGTTAAACCCGGGTTGGATTCCTGCTGGGCCACGTGTGTAGCCTCAGCAAATCCTCTGAGCCTCAGGTTCCTCTGAGAAACAAGACGACATATTGAAAGCACCTAGCCCAGTGCCATAGATCCCAGGTGCTCTATAAAGGGCAGTAATTAGTACTATTAGGATTTTCTCTCCACCGTGTGAACTGGACCAAAAGTTTCCCCAGGCTTTAATTGGTCTCTCTCCCAGCCTGAGATGGATGGTGCTCCAGTCGGGTGGCCACATCTCGGCTTCCTCCCCAAATAAATGGCCACCCACAGTGGAAGCATGTGGAATTAGAATGTTAGCCGGGTGTGCCTCCCCATAATGGAGCTCATTTTTTATATGACTGGGAACTTTTTTAATAAAGAAAGATGTAAAATAATCTCATTGCCGCCACTGCTGAGCACAGGAAGCATTAGGTGCTCCCCAGTGAGCTGCTTAATTCAATTTTATTAATTTTTGCCACAGAGGTACAACTCCCCTTCACTGGGGTCCCAGGGGGTGTCGGGGCAGCTGTGTGGGTGGCACCACCCTGGGGGCAGCCCTAGGAGGACCTTCCAAAAGGTGCCTTAACAAGGCCCCTGTCTTGTGGGTAGTGCAGCCCTGTCTCTGTGGGCCGTCTCTGCAAGGAACAAGCGTCAGCCTCCAGTGCCTTTGATTTTTCACAGGAATTGTCTGCCACACTGTTTTTGCTTCTGCAATTGTGTTCGATTACCCCAGGGAAGGCAACCTTATTATAACCAGGCCATTCACCGCTAAAATTGTCGCAGTATCGTCATTATAAA